TGACACAAATCTATTTACTGCAAATAAATTGACCATCACCTATCAAAAAAAGCATTTGATGATACATCCTAAGAAAGACGGTAATTGTAAAACCCACAAAACCACAATCAAACACAAAATCAATCCAAAAATCAACAAAAAGAGAGAACAAATACAATTAACTATATATCAATATTTGTTTCCTTTGTCATCACTAAAATTGAATTGTTTATGTTTGTATGATAAAATGAATGGTTCGGAGCAAGTTATAGTTATCCAAATTCATCGTATAATATATCAAATTAAAGCCCTATCTTTCTAGTTTTCAAATATTCAAACTGCTCATCAATTGATTTTATTGCAAAGTTATGGTTATTTACTATCGACTGTTCAGTGGAAATCGAGAAATAGGGGAAACAAAATGTGTGTGATGATAAAAGGATGGCTTGACAGTGGGGCACATTTATCCAAATTAATCGTATATATATCAAATTAAAGCATATCTACTAGTTTCTAAAGATTCAAACCTCTCATCAATTGGAATTTTTATTGAGAAGTTATGGTCATTTACTACTGACTGTTCAGTGGAAACCAAATATGTATGATGTAAAAAGATGGTTTGGAATAGGCTACAATTATCCAAATTAAGCATATAATATATCAAATTAAGCCCTATCTGTCTAGTTTCTAAATATTTAAACCTCTCATCAATTGGATTTTATTCAGAAAGTTATGGTCAATTTATACTGACTATTCAATGGAAACCGAATGTGTGTGTGATAAAAGGATGTTCGACAGTCGGCTAAAATTATCCAAATTAAGCATATAATATATCAAATTAAAGCCATGTCTGATAGTTTCTAAAAATTCAAACCTCTCATCAATTGGAGGTTTATTAGCAAGTTATGATCAATTTACTACTGACTATTCTAGAAACCGAAATTGTGTGTGATAAAAGAATGGTTTGACAATGGGCTACAGTTATCCAAATTACGCGTATATATATCAAATTAAATCTCTGTCTGCTAGTTGCTAAAGATTCAAATCTCTTATCAATGGAGTTTTATTGAGCAAGTTTAGTCAATTTACTACTAATTGTTCAGTGGAAACCTAAATGTGTGTGATGATAAAATGAATGGTTTCTAAAGCTACATAGTTCAGCATCAACATCAGTTGATATTTGTTAAATAAATAAATTAGTTATATTCAGTAACAACCTCTTTCATGATATATATATATATAATATAAAAAGATATCAATAAAAAAGAGATAGAACCATTACAATTACACTAATATTAATATTTGTTTTCCTTTAAGGATAATAATAATGGTCAACATATTATAAATGGTTTACTAAAACTATATGTCGGAAACAACATCAGATGATTTTGCAATACAAATAAAATTTGTTATATTCACAACAACCCGTTTTCGATATATGTTCGTAACATAAAAAAATATCAACAAAAGAGATAAAAAAAAAAACAATTAAAACAACATATCAAGATTTGTTTTCTTTGTCATCACTAAAATTGAATTTTTTTTATGTGTGTGATGATAAATGAATTGTTCGGCCGCAGGTCTATAGTTATCCAAATTCATCGTAAATATATCAAATTAAAACTCTATCCTTTAGTTTTCAAAGATTTAAACTGTTGATCAGTTGGATTTTTATTAAGTATTAGGTCATTTACTACTGTTTGTTCAGTGGAAATCAAGAAACAGGAGAAATCAAAATTTGTGTCATGATAAATGAATGGTTCAGCAGTGGGGTATATTTATCCAAATTAAGCGTATAATATATCAAATTAAAGCCCTATCTGTCTAGTTTCTAAAGATCAAGCCTCTCATCAATTGGAGTTTTATTGGCAGTTATGATCAATTTATTACTGACTATTAAGTGAAAACTGAAATGTGTGATGATAAAAGAAATGGTTCGAAGTAGGGCTACAGTTACCAAATTAAGCGTAATATATCAAATTAAAGTCCTATTTGTTAGTTTTCAAATATTCAAACTGCTCATCAATTGATTTTATTGAACAAGTTATAGCTAATTTATTACTGACTGTTCAGTGGAAATCAAGAAACAGGGAAACCGAAATGTGGTGTATGAAAAGGAATGGTTAACAGTGGGGCTACAATTATCCAAATTAAGCGTATAATACATCAAATTAAAGCTCTGTTTGTCTAGTTTCTAAAGATTTTAATCCGCTCATCAATTGATTTTTATTGAGCAAGTTACGGCCAATTTATTATTGATGTTTATGGAAACCGAAATGCGTAGTATAAAATGAATGGTTTACTTAACCCAATTTAAGGGTATCATATTAGACTGATAAGAAATATTTCAATAACACCTATTAATGGAAAACAGAATCCCAAAATTAATTCATTTAACATATATACTCGCACATCAGCAGGACAAAAAATTAATCATTCATATAACAAATTAAAATACACGAATATTTTTACAAAACATATTCAACACAAATGAACTGTTTATATATATAGATATGACACATAGTTCAGTTGATAATAAGATCATCCCTCGATTTGATCTTAGTAAAGTATATGAACATTTCCTTGAAAACAAACATAACAAAATTATTGATCTTCATGTTAAATTGTTAAGTAAAATTATTCATTCGTATAACGATGTTACTTGAAAACGAAATCAACAAAAGTGAATTAATCTTCATATTAAAATTGTTAAGGAATACACTTACCGTTCAGCAGGACTAACACAATTAATCATTCAAATATGACCAAACAAAAACAATCATTTAATCAAATAATAACCGTTAAAATAGTTAGGAGATGTAATTATAATTCGTATTAAATAGTTAGAAGATATATTTACAGTTCGAAGAATAATCAAATAACAACTCATTTGACAATGTCAATCGGACATCTTGCCTTTATTCCATACCAATTCATGAATCTTTGACTTGTAAATAGCCCAAAAACATAATAAATAAAAATCATCGATTACAAAAATCATAAGAAATACGTATTATTGACATAAACTAACATGACCTATAAACAATTAACAAAAGATCAGACGTATTGTTGACACCAACTAACATATTGCAATAATACACAACTGAACATACACCTCTTTTATAAACCCTTATTTAGACTTTTTGAATACTAACACAATTAAATACAAATTGAATACGAAGAAAAGTTGCAATGTTGATACAATGCACCTATATAATTATTAATAGCAATTCTAGACATATGTCATTAAACCACAATTATTAATAGCAATCCAATGCATCTGTATACTTGTTATTAATGCACATCCAACGCGTCAAAATAGTTACAGCTTTGGAATGCCAAAGCAATGCACCTATATAATTAGTATTATTATTAATTATTAATACAAGTCCAACATGTCAAGATGGAACAATAAATACAAACCCAATGTGTCGAGATAAAGTAATTTGATTGGGCTCATTAAACCATAAATCCTAGTTGTCAATCCAATATGTTAAAATGGAACAATTTTAGAGCTTCCAAAATGTGCCACGTGTCGATCAACCAAGATAGGTATTCAACTATATATATTAACATAACCATTATGATTATGTGTATATTCAGTTGTATTTATCATTTTTACATAAGAGAAGAGAAAAGGCATGGTTTATTTTTATTTGTTTTTGTAGACATAAGGAAAATATTTTTATATTTGTTTATATAGAGAAAATATATACATTAAATTGAATATATATTTAATACTTTTTGAAAATCATTAAAGTGCTTGAAACTTAACAAATTTCTGGCTAAATAAAATTAACTCAATTTAAAATACCAAAGAGTAGTGTTATTTTAACCTTATTTAAAATACAATTTATTCCAAAAATACCTTGATTTTCTCCCACTTTTATTAATCTAATCTTCAATGGAATTCTTAATATTCTTATATATTACTATAAAGAAAGCAAGATTAAAACAAAATACTGCTTTTGGATGGAGAAAACATTTCAATATCATTAATTAATTGGATATTTATGTTTGTAATAAATGAATTATGGAAAACTTCTACATTGGGTGAAAAATAAAAAATAAATAAAGGAAATTACTACTTCTTAGATTGTTTATACTGTTAAGTGTTTATACGTTCATTTGAATAGTTTGTCATAAAAATAAGTGAAGACGACATATTCCCACTTGAGGTTTAGTAACTAAAATCTGAAGTTGATACCTTGGTTGTATTTATACCAAATTTTTACTCTCAAAGTAACACTGTTTAAAGTCTTAACTTTTTACTTTAGCTTTTTTTTTTTTTTTTTTTGATGAGCTCATGTTAGTAAAAAAGCAGCGTCCAAGTCAACATTTTTTGGTTTTTTCTGATTGATTTCAAAATCCAAAATCATTTTTGAGACCACCGTTGGACTCCTCACAATCTCATTTACATAACCCATGCCTTCACTTGCTAACTTCACTCGTCGTTTCTAACCACCTCTAACAGCCACTAACGGTGTTAGTTTAAGAGTGAAAATCTATAATAAATGCAACTAAAGGTATCAACTTAGGATTTTGCTAAACCTCGGGTGAGAATATGTTGTTTACTCTAAAAATAAACTAGTTAATAAGATATGAGATTAGAATATTTGATTTGACTGTCTATAATAATATCCAATTTTATTTCAAACTACATAACTTTGTATAAACATGACTAGTTAAGGTTGATAGGAGAAGGAGAATACAAGGTTAACTTTGTAATATGATTATTTGTATAATTTTTATTTAATGAATTCTATTTAATGTGGGCTTTAGAAAGAGGTTTACCGGACTAAAAAAAATGGTAATTAAATTAACGTGTTAAAGTTCACAAAAATGAGGGAAAGTAAGAAATAGAGGATAATTTTGGAATTTCGATAGTTGTTGGTTAATATAGTTTAGGATTTAGATTGGTAGTTAATTTAGTTTAACGCACCCAAAATTTGGTTAATTAAATAATTATTAAAAAATATAATTTCTGAATTTAAGAACAGTAAATAAAAAAAAGAAAAAGAAAAAAGAAAAACAAGTTGTAACCGCCCGTTGCTCGCACTTATGCAGAAACGGAAACTCCGACAGACAGACTCTCTCTACACACAATTTGCCGTTGGTTGGTCCCGCTCAATTTAACCACCGAAATCACAGCTTAGCCCCTCCTCACATTTCTGTAAGCCCATTACTTTACTCCTTTCTCCCCTTCCTTTCTTGTTTATTGTTTTTCTCTTTTCCCCTTTTATTTCTTCTGCTTCTTTTCTCCTTTTTTTCCATGATCTTATTTTGCTCTATTTTTTGTCTTCTTGCACCTTCTTTTGCTAATTCTGCGGGTTTCCTTTTTGAAGAAAATAAAAAGCTTTCTTACATAGATATATAGTTTTTGGCTTGCTGCTTAAATTTCGAATTCTTAATGAATTGGTCTTGTTACTGTCTTTCCATCTTTCTTTGGTTCTGTTCTTTTTAAAAGCCCTATAATAATTTTGATGGGGTTTCGATCAAATTTAATTGCTTTTGATGTTCCATGCTTTGTTTATTAGCAATTTCATTTTTTCTTTCTTTGCAAATTATGGGTATGAATTTTTGGTGAAAAGTAAATGGTTATGTAGTGGTAGTGCCTGGGATGAGAGCTTCAGTTGGACAAGTTTATATTTTTCAAACTAAAGTGAGTAAAATTATCATTCCTGAGAAGAAATAAGTATTTTGGCTCAAATCAGTTGCTTTTGGATATTGGAAATTTCAAGGGGTTATGACCATTTAAGAGATATTTATCAAATTTGCAGGATGGGAAGGGTTAAGTTAAAGATAAAGAGATTAGAGAGCACTAGCAACCGCCAAGTGACTTATTCGAAACGAAGAAATGGGATCTTGAAGAAAGCTAGGGAGTTATCAATTTTGTGTGACATAGATATAGTCCTTCTCATGTTTTCTCCGACTGGACGGCCTACATTATTTCATGGACAACGAAGGTATATTGAGAAGCAAACATGCATGGTTTGTTCGGTTGGGAAATATTATTAGTTTTATTGGTATGATTTTCCAGTAAGAGCTTGCATATCTCAGATCATTTTAGAAGTCCTTCCTTCACTAATTGCTGAACATTTATTGATAACTATAGAATACATTTTACAATCATATGACAAATTTTTGTTAGAGAATGTGTATATAGCTATTGCAGGTTTTTTAATTCTACTCTTTTTGGCTCCTTTACATTGCCCATACAAATCAACATAAATATTTGTGGCATGCTGGAAGAAATCTATGAATATACAGAATAAGTGTGTTTGTTTTAAATTTCAGGGATTGTTTTGTCCTCATTGTCTTTGTAAGATCATGGTAACCATGTTTGCATTCATAAACTATAAGTTTAAATTGGATGGAGAAAGCCATGTCATATAGCAATAATTTTGCCAATATATTATGAAGAAACGAAGGGTGCTTACTTATTTGATTCTTTTTAGGCACTTTTATTGAAAAGTATGCGTAAAATTAATGGTGAAGAAAAAATACTACTTCTCTTCATGTCTGTTGTGTAATTTATGAGTCATTTTTGTTGGGATCAACTGAAGCAGTGATTTTTTACTTTCAGCATCCATGTTTGTAGCATTTCAGGTGCAATAGCAAATTCTTTTTGTTCCTTAAAATATTGAGAACAAGTGTTTAATTTTCCATTTCTGTTGAAAAAGATTTAACAACTTTTGTTGAACTCTGAGCAACGTGGATAAGAGCCTTTTTTTTATGATTTCAAAATAAAAGTTCAAAAGCAAAATATCGTTTGATGCCAAAATAGAATATGACTACTATGGTTTTTAAATATTTTCCATATCATTAATTTGCTGTATCTCTTATTTTTTCAGCAATATTGAAGAAGTAATTACAAGATTTGCTCAATTAACTCCTCAGGAAAGAGCTAAAAGGTATGATAAAACTAACACTGAAATTATGATTCTGACTTTTCCTTTACTGTTTTAGTTAAATTTGCTATGCACTACAGCTAAGTATTTTTCATTTAACTGCTACAGGAAATTGGAGAGCCTTGAAGTAAGACTGATCGCAGCCCATCTCTTAAATATGATTTTTTGTTCATGGGCTTTTTTCGTATTAAGAATAGATTTGACATCAACCTTTGTAGTCATTCATGCTAACAATTTTTGTGTTCTTTTTGAGAGTATAGGCACTGAAGAAAACATTTAAGAAGTTGGACCATGATGTAAACATTCAGGACTTTTTGGGGGCAAGGTATCTAATTGTTTTGTCAAGTTTTGGATTTGTTTTGAGTAAAATCTTTTGAAGGATCTGAGTACCCATTTATTTGTCTTTGCAGCACTCAAACAGTTGAGGTACAAATCCCTTTTTTAGCATTGTCAATATTTATGGTCATTTTGATATTCTGAATTTACTTTTCATGTCAATAAAATCGTTTTGTCTTATCTGTAGGAGTTGACTGATCAAGTCAGACTACTGCAAGCTCAACTTACAAGAGTACACAAGAGATTGAGGTGCACCTTCAGGGTTTTGGTTATTAAAGAGTTCCTTTTTTCTTGTTGGTCTTGTGGATCTGATGTTATCATGAAACATATATGCAATAAGAACTCACTGATTATACCACTGTGTGATTTAGAATTTGATGTTGTGTGTAAATTTATATTTTATTCTTTTGAATGTCGGTGCTGCACAGTTTAGTGGTAAGAGCTTTAGAGGCTCCATAATCTTATCTTTTGATTTAAAAATGTAACTCCAATCAAATGCTTTGTGCCTTTCCTTTGCTTGCTGTTTTGTTTGCCTTTATCAATTGCTGCATCCTTTTTCAAATGGTAATATATGAGAAAGTATTTACTTGTGTGCCCCTGAGTGTATTTGTCTGTTGAGTGACACTTTCTTATTCTTAGAATTGTTCCTTTATGCAGTCAGAGCCATAGAGTAAGTTTTCAGAGAACAGTAGTTGTTCAATAGGGAACTGCTATAATATATTTGTATAAAATATTTCAGTCAATTTTTATCTGTTCAGTTTTACTGTCAATCCATTTCATCTTGAATGAAATTGGCATTATTAAGTTTCACTGATCAAAACTGATTCACATAATTAGCTCATTATTTTATTATTTGACTGATATTAACTTAATACACGTGGAAGCACGCACAAATACACACCATCCTTGGGATATAATGGTGCATATAGGTGCTGGTTAAGGATCAAACGATTATTTGCTGGCTTCTAGGTATATTCTATGAACAATTCACTTTTTGCTAGAAAATAATCAGGTCTAAATTCTGCCAAACATTAACTCTTCTGCATCTGGCAATCTAAAATTTAGCCCCGCCAGCCTGTTCTTGTGTGATTTCTTCCTCTGTTTCCCTTCATGGCCCATTAGCAAACAAGTGTATGATATAGATTTTTCTCGATATCATCTACAAATTTAAAATATTATTTCAAGTATAACTGCCCAGCAAGTATATCTATACTTTCCCTCTAATCTTTTAACGACTTCCATATACCATGTATATCATGAGAAGCAGAACACATGAATACAAACTTGAAAATATATGATTGGCTATTTAGAATTATGTAATATTGAATTTTCTCTTATGCCTTTCTTACTTCATAATGCCATTTTTTCAGCTATTGGAGTAATCCTAGCAATGTTGACAGCGTGGAATATCTTAGGCAGATGGAAGACTCACTGAGAGAATCAATTAACAGCATTAGTCTGCACAAGGTATGAAATTTGTTTTTTTAATCATTGTCACATGGCAATTTGTAATGATTCATAGATATTCTTTTCCCTTGGTGAAGCTAGTGAATTCATATCTATGTACATATTGCTTTACATTGAGAAAATAGTCATAATATCATTTCAGACATGGAAGTAGATTACCTAGTTCAATATTACTTCTGTATTAAATTTGAAGGTATTTAATTTATCTTTACACAGTGGCAAAAGCAGATGGTAGAAACTGTAATTGATCATGATGTCGTAAACAATCCACTATAGGAAAAAAGAAAAGGATTCTAATTCCTACTGAAATTTATTGGGTTGAGACCGCGGGGCGATTCTTCTAATTGGAAATAGTTATCTATTCTGACATCAAAAGACTCATAATCAGATCTTGTAACTATTTGTTTGCGACTTGACAATTTAAAACAGGCTTTTGAGATGTTAATTTTCATTTAATGGGTTAAAATTATAGAACTTATATCCTGAATTCTGTTTGAAAGATTTTGAAGAAGTAGGGCAAAGTATTTACCTGCCTGTAATAGTAACTTATAATAAATTGATATGACTGACTGACTTACCTGATATTCCTTTCCTAGCAGGAAAATTTTGGAAAGCGCCAGCTTATGCCACTGGATTTTACCAATCAGGTAAACAGATTCTTAATCTGAGGCATTAGTCTCTCTCTCTCTTTTTCCCAGACACATACACACAAAGGGCACAAAATCTTATTTGTACTTTTGTTGCATCACTTCAGAATGGAATACATTTACCTTTGATGATGAGTGGTTTACAAGAATCCCAACCTCTATCATGGCTTCCAAATACTGACAGTCAACATCTTTTAGTACAAAATGAGCCAAATTTCCTCCCTAGAAGGTGAGTTTTATATATATATAACTTGAAATTTCATGTCCCAGTACCTTCAGTTTACTGCTGAACATTATCTTCATGAAGTACTATTATACTGCCTGGCAATCTGGATTTTTATACTATGAAGTTTTATTCGTGTTCTCATCTATTTGTTATTCTTTTCTTCATTTCTTGTTTAGTTCTTACGGCTGAATTAACACATAGATTTCATTTCCCTTCTGTTGTTTCTTGTAACCCACTGGTTTTTGTGTATTCAGTGATATGGGGTGCTCAGAAGATGGCTCCATCCCAGGCTATTCTAGTTTCTTGGGCAATGGTAAAGAAATAGAGGTTGGCAACTCAGTGCAAGCTGATAATATGGGACATGGAGGTGGTGCTTTGAATGAGTTGAGTACTAGTGCATGCTTGAGTCTACAAGTTGGGGAGCAATATGCATACCCTCCATATAGTAGTTTGGATATGCCAGATGATAAGAAGTTGAAGCGTGAGATGGAGATGAACTTGCAAGGACACCCTGCAGTTTATCAAGTCAATAGCAACTTTGAACTCCCTAGACCCGTGTATGGCAATGGGCATCATGATTGGGTTTCTGCATCTGGGCCTTGTGGAATTTCCATGTTTGATGATAACTCATACCAGCAAGTAAGATTATTTCCACCTACTTTTTCCCTTATTTTTGAATTCCAAGAAGGATTGGGATCCATGATAATGGATTGATTAATTTTGTTTGAGTTTCATTTGATTAACTTGTCAATCATGTGTCGTTTTCTGGATGTACAGTACCCATAAGTGGAAAGAATCTGTTTTCTTTATTAGTTGAAACATGTTGGCTTCTTTATTAGTATAATGGAGCTTCAATGGACCGAAAAGACCAGAATAACTTACAACTCCTAACCAATTAAAGATGGATAGAGAAAAATAGGTGTCTTCAAGCTTTTGAGACAAAAGCGTAAAGAGATGCCAAAAACTTGTTTTTGTCTCATAGAGCAGCAATTTCTTCTCCTCCACTATCTTCAAAAATCCTTGTATTTCTTTCAGTTCAAATCACTCACAAAGAGCAAGAACCATAAATTTTCTAGGAATCTTGCTGACTGTAGCCAATTGTCTTAAATTTCTAATCATTAGGTGCTTGCAAATAAAGAGTCTGGTTGATGTTAATGCACTCTGTAGTGTCAACACTTCACAATCATTATGATAACTCTCTGTCTCCATCTACTGTTTTAAGTCCCAACTGGCAGTGAAGATATCTGCATTTTGTTTTGATAAACCTGAAATGGAAAGATGAAGATACCCATATTTCTTATTCGTAGTAGAATTTAGCTTCACTACATTAGACTCTTTGCTGGTAGACTGAAATAAAAAATTCTTCTGAGTTAGAATGTGCTAGTCGTAGATAGATGAACTCTCCTAATAGTTGGAAGCTACTGCTTTTTTATTCTAAATTTGGAAATATAAAATTTTGACTACTTTGTGTAAAAAAAACTTTTCGACCTGGTACATTTCAGTAGCTATTTCGGTTGAGTCGCTCAAGGAAATGTTTGATTGACTTTTCAAGTGAAGTTGAGTCCTTTTCTGGTGCCATTGGAAGTCACAGAAAAAGTATTACATGTTGGGAGTTGGTGTTTCTATCGTATGACTGAAAATAAGAAAAAAAAAAAAAATAATCTTAGACTAATGGATATTATTATTGTTCATTTCATTTAAAGGTAACTACCCTCCTCACATGATCTAGTAATTATAGCTCTCCATGTGAAGACATGATATATAATCCATATCTATAAATTTGTGCTAGACTAAGATTAATTCCCTCTCTCTTTATTTTTATTTTCTTATTGTTTTGGAATGGGGTTCAAATCTAAACCAGGGAAAAGTAAACTCTCCTGATCAAAGATAAAGCTGAATTGTTGTGATGAACTTGTATGAAAGGAGTTTTCTTGTTCTTCATGTTCGTGTGTCTATTTCTTGCTAGTTTCTGGCCTGTAGTTTTTGAAGACTGTCTGCCTTAATGATTTTCTATTAATTTCATTCTTTTTGCAGCCACAAAATCAACTTTCATGAGTCAACATGTTTTTTAACGGATGAGACGGCTGATAGCTGCGAAGTTGATGTGCATTAGACATCCGTCGGTAACCATTATGTGTGGAGTTTGGCCTGTTACCAGATGAAGTTTGTGATATAAGAAGAGTAACTAAGAGATGGATAGATGGTTTGTTTAATTTGTGAAGTGTTCATGTTAGCTGTTTGTAGTATATAAATCAAACAGGTTCACTAGATCATCTGTAAATATGAAATCTTTTGTTTCGGCAACAAAGTTTTATGTAACAGGGATGGGTTTCTGATAATATACGCATCAGTCACCCAAGCTGTACATTATACTTTGTAGAAAACGATAGCAAAATCATAGTTATGGTTAAAATGGGTTTTTCAAGCAGATGTTTGTATGTATTCATTCTTGCTACAGAAAGTAAATTTTAATTTGGGCAAGTAATGTAAACGATAATATAAATGCCATCTAAGTTCCCCTGTACATTGAAGGTCCCATGTTTACATTGATGCTCAAATCTCACTCAAAATGATTGCAAAAGAAAGACAGTTGATTTAGTAACCCCTTAGTGTTTGAACAATGGTGTTGTGCCATGGGTCTGAGAGGTGCTGCAAGAGGTTGTCAAATGGTCCTTTTCCTGTCACATTGTGTTGAACCACAAATCCCAAGAATGCCAACATTGCCAATCTCCCTGCATATTCAAACATCATATATTATCAGCTCAGGCACACACAAAATATTTCTCTGCAAAACAGAAAAGCCCATTTCTGGATTATTTACCATTGGCAAGTTCCTTCTCCTTGGCCTCAAGAGTTGGTGCAAAATTCAATGGGTTGAAAATGCCACCAGGGTAGCCAACTTCATTAGGAGGCAAGCTGTATTGCTTGAAGATAGGGTCCTGGTTCACACTTCCTGGGTTCTTGATATCTTGCCATCTTCTAATCTCCACATAGTGAAACAAGATGAACTCGATAACGAAAAGGGTCGAGGATGATGCAAAGTATTCAGCTTTCCCAGCATCATACCATTTGGGCACATTAATAATTCCGATCTGGGTGAAAACTTCCGGCAACAACATTCCTACAACACCCAACATCGCCCACCGCCCGTTAACAAGTTCCGCCTGAACATACCATTTCAAGTTCTCCGGGTCCTCAGCCAAACCTAGAGGGTCAAATCCATTGTCCCCTGGAAGACTGCATTCATAAAAAGACAAATGAACTCAATTATAAATTAGTCACCTTATGAAATGAATAAATCGTCTTTAAAACTGTGTTGAGTTGAGTTCTGTACCTGCCATTAAGGTAACCAGGTGAAGGCAAACCCGGTAACCACTCTCCTTTCTTGGCCTCAACTTTGAAAGAAGAAGTTGATGAAGAAGTGACTGGTTTAAAGGACACTTCCCTATTTAATTTACCGGAAGAGCCATTAAGGAACCTGGATTTGGAAGCGCATGGCCGGAACACGGCAGCCGAGGCTTGTGTTGTGACGGTTGCCATATTATCCGACGGTGAAGAAAGTGAGTGGAAGATCGGTAGAGTAGTGTCAGCTAATAAAAATGAAATGTCAAGCGCATGGCTTTGTAGCGACACTTGTGGTTGTCGTTGAATGTGGGTTAGTGTTGTTGATTTTATTGATCCGACGGTTGAGATGCGTCTGTAGGTTTTGGATTAGCCAATGAGAAGTATGAGGCCTTATCTCTTTATCTTGATGCTATATCCTTAAATCTATTTCTTTGTTTTTGTTGGTTATGAAAGATACTGTGGGACCATTTTTGCCACGTAGGAAGATCTTTATAATGTTGATATGCCAGGTATGAATTTCCGTCCTATGACAGGGTGACAAGTGGCTTTTCAAAGCAAAAGACATCCTCAGAGATAAAACATATAGTATTAGGATAAATTAAATTCCTACATAAGTAATATAGGTTAGTCTGACAGTTGAGAACTAAAATAATTTTTTAGAAATGAGAGATTTTTTTTTTTATAAATTTCAATATGATTAAAAATAAATACATTTTTAAAAATATCACCCAGATTTACATCAAGATTTAAATATTCTTGCAAAATGGATATAGCTACTACTAATTTGTTCCATTTAGAGATCCAAGCTGGAGGACTTTGGTGGCCACAGTAGAAGCCCAATAAATTCCTAAAAGAAAAGCCCCGGATAACAAGCAACAACCAACACCAATAAATGCGGGAAAAAAAAAAAAAAAAAAAACTTAAATTGACAAGAGCATGTTTGGTGCGGTTGACTTGAGTAGGCTTATAAAAGAAAAGTTTATATGAGTAAACCTTTATGAAAATATTGTTAGTTTTTTTTTAGGAAAATGTAAAAGAACTTTATAGTGTTAATTTGCGAAATTGGTTTTAATATCTAGAATCAATCAAGTCAAATATATAAAATGAATAAGGGTTCTTATGAAATTTTAACACTTAAATGAGCTCAAAAAGAGATAAGTTGTAAAATAACTTATTTAAATCCATAACACTTTAAAAATGCAACCAAACATTTTATTTTTTTTTTTTTAAATACTTATGGCTTTAAATAAAGTCTTTTGGCAAGTGAATAAGCTTAATTAAAGAGGCTCTAATAATGCTACATTCACAAATTAATTTCTACAAATTGATGTGATAATCAATGTTATCTACTTTAGTTTATTTAAATTATCTAATTGTATTATAACTTGCCACTTTGTATTACTTTGTAGAATTCTTAATTACGGGCCAAAAACAATGTAATTCCTTAGGATTTGGGAACACCCATGTGGGGGATATTCAATGAAGAGACTTGAAACACGTAAGATTATGCTTTCCAAAAAGCGATATTTGCCCCCTCTAAATTGCTTGTTGGTTTCTAATGCAAATAGCTTTTGGGATGACAAGCCTTTTGTGAATTTGCACCAAGCTATAATGAAAATTCACCAAATGAATAAGAGAATGTTTTTGGGTTTTCTGGCAAGTTCAGATAGAGAAACAAAAATTTTCTTTTACTTTCATAAACAACCAATTTCCAACAATCCCCCACCTGGTTAAATATAAATTAAGAAACACATGCTAGAAAAATCCAAGCAGTGTATATGCATAAAGAAATGTATCTTTCGATTTGAACATTACCTTAGTGTAAGAATAAAAAAGCGTTGTTGAAATTCCAGGTAGCACTATGCTTTGAACCAGTTATCTCTTTGTAACAAAACCGGTGATATCACATGCGAACACACTCAACATTCACATATTCCTCATAAAACTTGTTTAACACTATTATGGCCATGTGCTCATCCTTTTCATGAACTTTCTTGAGAGAAACTCTGACTCTCATGAGAAGCGACACCACCTCTAAGTTCATATAGGTGAAGCTCTTCTAATATCCTTGTTACATTTAAGATACTTGTCACACATAAACTGGACTTCATTAAGAGTTTTAAACTCAACTGTAACAACCAACACTAATCATCTAATATAGATAGGGCTTTGAAAGTTAAATTTAGTGTTGAAAACTCTTCACTTATCAATGACTTGTTTGTACCCTTTGAACTTAAGACTAGTCATTTCCTAGTATTAAGTTGGGTTGCCATCATTGGTGGATCTCTTAGTTCAAGAGTTTTAGCCTTATCTCTCTAAATGTAGATTTTACCAACTCTGTTGAAAGAGGTTTGGTAAATGGATCAGCCAAGTTTTCACTTGATCTCACATATGAGATAGCAATAATTCCACTTTGAATTAACTGTCTCACATACTCATCTAAGACTAACATGTTTTGACATTCTATTATACACACCACTGTATGCACGAGACAAAATGGCTTGACTATCACAATGTATTGGTATAGTTGACATATGCTCTAAAATAAATGGGATTTCTAAAAGAAGATCCCTAAGCCACTCGGCTTCTTTCCCTGTTCCTGCTAAAGCAATAAACTCAACTTCCATGGTTGAGTGTGTAATACAAGTTTTTTCTTTGATCCTCAACAAACTGCATCACCACCAAGAGTAAACACCCAACCTGTAGTAGATTTATTATCTCCCACACATGATATCCAGCTAGCATCTGTATATCCTTCAAGTACAATAGGGAATTTTGAATATTGGAGACTTAGTTCTTTGGTTTTCTTGAGATACCCAAGAACTCTTTCAATAGCCTTTCAATGTTCAACACTTGGATTGCTAGTAAACCTACTGAGTTTACTAATTGCAAATACTATGTCTAATCTTGTACACTAGGCAACATACATTAGACTACCAATAACACTTGCATATTCAAGTTGAGCCACTGCTCTTCCATCATTCACAACAAGTTTTATACTTGGATCAAATGGAGTATTTGCCTCTTTAACATTTAGATGACTGAATTTCTTAAGTACCTTCTCAATATAATGAGACTGACTTAAGTCAAAACCCCCACTATGTTGTTTCACTTTAATACCTAAGATGGTATCAACTTGTCTAAGATCTTTCATCTTGAAAGTGGAGGATAGAAACCTCTTCGTTTCTATTACACCTTTCATATCATCACTCAAAATCAACATGTCATCAACATAGAGACAAACAAATAATGGTATAATCATCACAAACTTTAGAATATAAACATTTATCAACATTGTTATGACTAAAACCATTAGATAGAATGGAGTCAAACTTTTTATGTTGTTGCTTAGGAGCTTGCTTCAAACCATACAAAGATTTAACAAGTTTACAAACTTTATATTCATTCCCAGGTAGAACAAAACCCTCAGGTTGTTCCATGTAGACCTTCTCATTGATATCACTATTTAAGAATGTTGTTTTAACATCTATTTGATGAATATAAAGATTATGGATTGAAGCCAAAGCAAATAAAAGTCTAATAGAAGTTATTCTAGCCACATGTCCATATGTATCAAAGTAATCAATTCCTTCCTTTTGTCTAAAGCCCTTGGATACTAATCTAGCCTTAAAAGTTTGAAGAGTACCATCAGTATGATATTTCCTTCTAAACACCCATTTGCAACCAATTAGTTTAGAACCAAATGGTAAATCAACAATTTCCCAAGTGTTATTAGACATAATTGAATCTATTTCATCATTGATTGCCTTTTTCCATAAAGTAGAATCTCTAGAAAATATTGATTCTTTATAAGTCTTAGGATCATCTTCAATTTGAAGAATTATAGGAATTTTCCTAATCAAATCTTCTATATTTCCTTCTACTAAACAAAAGGAAATTCTTTGAGAATCAATCTCATCAGATCTCAATTCTTTTTGTTTTCTAATTCTTTGACTTTTATGAGGTTCACTAGGTTGCTCAACAACCTTTGGAGTATCTCTTCTTGAGATTTTCCAATTTCAGTAGTAGTTTGAGATTTATCATCACAAGATTATTAATAAATTCTCCAAGAACTTTACTTCTCTAAATTCAATTGTAAC